GCAAAGTGTTCTGTCTGCAAATAATGTACACGTAGTTTCTTGGTTCTTGCATCAACTTTCAGTGCATTCAAGCTCAACTCCCTCGCGCGTCTGTACCGAGGCAGGGCACGAGCCATACCACTACTCGAGTACCTCAGCATCTGATAAAACATACTAACGACAGTGCCTGACGCTCTTTTTTTGCCCTTGTTGCTATCGTTGAAGCCGGCTGAGACAGGAGAGAGTGACGCACCGTAGCTACTTGGACCCTTCTCCTACTTCTTTTCATTTTAGCGCTGCGGTCTTGCGTTGCTCTTGCTTCATTTTGATACAGAACCGTGCATCTCGCACCATCTCTTCAAAGAACGCCTCTCATTCCCATACGTATGCGCCGTACCGTCTCTCTATATCTCAATATCCGGCTAGGGAAAGCGTCGCTGGGCAACAGTGAAAAAGCCAAGCTCCTGCGCCCGCAGTACGGCACGAACGGGGCATACCGTGCTGTAAATTCGGCGGACAGGCTGGCAAGCGAAAGCCCCAAGAAACCACTACAGTACCCTGAAATCCCGCCCGAGAGGGGAAGAGACGGTGCAGGCAAATAGAACAACGACCGATGCGACTTTTCTGCCGAGAGTTAGAGGGAGGGCCGTGCGTCCTGGCAAAACGTCCCGTCCGTGAATGGAACCAGAGCGCCACACACGACGGACCTCGTCTGATGATGTCACGAGTCAAAAGAAGCGACGTACGGTACGCACAAAAATGGACCAATTTCTGAAACGTCTACAGGTTTTGGCCACCTCACTGTTTGTGTGCACGGATGCATGCAAACAGCACCGCACTACAAAACAAGTAACACCCTGTCAAGGTGCCACTCTCCCAAGGAAGACAGAGAGTGAGATGCGTAGCGTACCTCCTGAGGACGTGCCTGAGCTCCCTGTTGCCACCGCCATTGCGCAGAAAATCGCTCGCTTCCACAGAAACTTCAAAAGCTGTCGGCCTTCACCACACGAAACGGGATGAATCGATGTCCATCGTGTATCCTTCGTATTCATCGTCAACCCATGCATAAGTCCCATGCATGTCTCATGCTCATGAGACAGGGGCGATAGCATCCCCATGAGACAGTAGAGTGCATCAGGCTACGTTTCGCGCCCACTGACGTTTCCTGAACACAGGTCACGTATTACTCTCTTTTGCACGCTGCAGAAGATTCCAGACGACGCGGCCAGTAAACCGGGATTCTCAAGATTTTACATGTAAAAAAACGAAACACCACAGGTGCCGCCACGTACCGTACAATAGAAACGTCTGTGCCTGGCCGAGAGGATAAGGGAAGTGTAACTTACACCTAGACCACCAGCTTCATAATAGCTACCCGGCTGCCAGCCGCTGCAACAAAGACCCCATGATTATCGTCTACCTCCCACCAGATTACCGTACTCTCCAGCTGCGCCAAAACAGCCTCAGAGCCATCCTCTCGCTCATGCACAATTTTCGTCCCCCTGCTCTCAAAAACCTTGAGCCTTTTGTGCCTATGTCCAGTGCGAGAGACGGCACGTAAGTTTTCTGCATTCAGAAATCTCTCCACGATATCTTGCCAGTCCTCCAACTTTCCGAGATGAACTGTACTCCCTTTCTCCACGTCCCAAACGCGTACGCTCCTGTTCCAGGATCCAGATACTGCACGTTTTCCATCACCACTCATCCCAACGCGAGACACCAAACTCGTGTGTCCAGTTAATGCGTCGCCGATTTGCAGTCCTGTGTCCACGTCCCAAACTCGTACGCTCTTGTCTCCCGATCCAGATACTGCACGTTTTCCATCACCACTCATCCCAACGCCATACACCTCATCCGTGTGTCCAGTTAATGCGTCGCCGATTTGCAGTCCTGTGTCCACGTCCCAAACTCGTACGCTCTTGTCCCGGGATCCAGATACTGCACGTTTTCCATCACCACTCATCCCAACGCTAAGCACCCCATTCGTGTGTCCAGTTAATGCGTCGCCGATTTGCAGTCCTGTGTCCACGTCCCAAACTCGTACGCTCTTGTCATACGATCCAGATACTGCACGTTTTCCATCACCACTCATCCCAACGCTAAGCACCCAATGCGTGTGTCCAGTTAATGCGTCGCCGATTTGCAGTCCTGTGTCCACGTCCCAAACTCGTACGCTCATGTCCCGGGATCCAGATACTGCACGTTTTCCATCACCACTCATCGCAACGCTATCCACCTCACCCGTGTGTCCAGTTGGTGCGTCGCTGATTTGCAGTCCTGTGTCCACGTCCCAAACTCGTACGCTCTCGTCATACGATCCAGATACTGCACGTTTTCCATCACCACTCATCGCAACGCTCTCCACCCGACCCGTGTGTCCAGTTAATGCGTCGCCGATTTGCAGTCCTGTGTCCACGTCCCAAACTCGTACGCTCTCGTCCCAGGATCCAGATACTGCACGTTTTCCATCACCACTCATCGCAACGCTATCCACGTAACTCGTGTGTCCAGTTAATGCGTCGCCGATTTGCAGTCCTGTGTCCACGTCCCAAACTCGTACGCTCTCGTCCAAGGATCCAGATACTGCACGTTTTCCATCACCACTCATCGCAACGCTCTCCACCCCATCCGTGTGTCCAGTTAATGCGTCGCCGATTTGCAGTCCTGTGTCCACGTCCCAAACTCGTACGCTGTCGTCATACGATCCAGATACTGCACGTTTTCCATCACCACTCATCGCAACGCTCTCTACCCAACCCGTGTGTCCAGTTAATGCGTCGCCGATTTGCAGTCCTGTGTCCACGTCCCAAACTCGTACGCTGCTGTCCCGGGATCCAGATACTGCACGTTTTCCATCACCACTCATCGCAACGCTAGACACCCGCGATTCATGACCGCAGTCACTCCACAAAATTTTCTTTTCCGATACACTCCAGAACTGTAGTGTCCCATCACCATATCCGATAACTGCATAGCGTTTGCTCATACTGACACAACCGCATGTTAATTCTCGGCTCCCCGTTCCAAAATCGTTGTCTAATTCAGTCATCTTCATTTCCTTGTCCGGAGACTGTGTGAAAACTGTGATCCTGGTATAGCCCAGGTCCGAACAGTGTCCATACACGCCACCGGTTGAGTCCATGCCGACTTCGTAAACGATATTCGGAAGCACAATCTGCTCCACCAAACTTCCTCCCGCTCGCCCTACACATTCACTCACAGGCCGCACCCATGGTCGTGGCGCGTGTTCCTCGATTTCCTCGAGTATCCTTCGCACGCTTCCTAATTGTGATGCCCTGTGCTTGATTCTTCCGTACAGTTGAAAGTAAATCCCTGCACTGCTTTCACCACAAAAAGGTACACTCAGTCGTGCAGCTCTCATCATCAATTCCATCGCATACACCGAATCTTCTTCTCCCGTATCCCTTAAAAGGCTCTCGCTTGCTCCCGTGTTCCTCAAAAAGCTATTTAGATCCTTTACAGCTTCCTCGTATTGCAACACACTTCCTCTCTGTATCACTGCCTTCACCCATCGCGCTCTCAAAAATAGATTCTTCAGCTCCTCCACATACCCGCCCTGTTTCAGAACGCGATATATATTCTCGAAAACATACTTCTCTCTTGCATCCTTGCTCTCTCTGCCCTCGCTCTCAGTCATAGCAAGCAGTCCCCCTCCCTGCCTGCATACATCTGCCAACTTCTTATACCAGACCGTTACACTTTCCTCCTTCTGCGCCTCCTGCACCGCAAAATCGTGCGTCAGATCATGCATCCGTACCCACCCACAATCCTTGTCGTAATGAATGTCTACTAATCCAACCCTTTCCATCTGCTTCACATACTTTTCAGCCGAGTCGTAGTCCATTTCCCACAACTCTCTTACCAACGACAAAGGCATCCCGTCTTGCTTCTTCATAACACACAGACTCCGATGTATCTTTCGAAACGAAAACTGACCTAACCTCTCCGCATCGCTCCCCATGCCGGACTCCACAATCTCTAGTGACGCATGTAATGTCGCGTCTAACGACAACAAATACCCATCCCCTGGACTCTCACTACGAATCGTGTTACAGCTCTTCATCTTCGAAAGGTATGCCTCCCACGCTTGTGACTTTTCTCCCTCCCATCTATCTCTCATGTACCTGACACCCGTCCCGGCTACGTTCAGAGCAAGCGGCAAACCAGCACACAATTTCAATATTTCCCTCACAGCCTCTTTGCATCTCGGATCATTCGCTTCCTCTGGCTTCGCCCCGCTCGCGAGCATGACCATGTGAACTGAATCGCTCCCTTCCCTTTCCCTCGATTCGAAAGTCACTCGCTTACCCACCTGTTTCAGCTCTGAGTCCCTCGTGGAATACAGAAGTCTGCTCCTCTCTCGGCTGTCTCCTGCTGTGTCAGCGAGAATGGATAACTTCTGAAGAATACACGCATCTATACCATTCATGGCCCACACATCATCAATAATGAACAGACATACACGTGTGTTGAACCATGCTCGCATCTTGGTCAGTACCCTGCTCAACTCGCTTTGCTCTCGCATTTTCCCAGCCGCCTGGTTGCCACCAGACGCCTCTACGGCTATGCACAGTTGCTCAATCAGCCGCCCTACGTTGGCGTCTTTCCCCAAAGACATGAAGTACACTCCGCCTGAAAACCGAGCCTTGATGTCATCGTCGTGCGCAATCGCTCGAAGAGCGCATGTCTTCCCGACTCCGCCCTTCCCCGTTGCCGTCGCTCCTATATGTGTATTCCTATCGGTACTAAGCACGGCCTCCTTTAGCCGCGCCTCACACGTATTCGGTGATCCATCGATCCCCCGAGAATTCAGTTGCAAATATATTCCTTCGGGATTGTGCTCTGCGAGTATACAGGGCGTGAACACATCAAGCGTACATCGTGCGATGGACGTGATGGCAGCGTGGGTTTCAACTTGGCTTTTTGTATTCAAAACTTCTCCCGCTTCATCACTTGAGTCCTCATCACTTTTCTTTTTCACCCACAGAAATACCCGCTCCACAAGATTTGCCCTCGCATCATGGCCGAATGCATCTCCGGGCAGGTTTGTTGCCCTTTCGTCATTTTCAATCCCAGTGATACCTGCCAGCTCTTGTAGCTCCCTCTTCACCATATCCGTGCTCGCTTCGCGCTGTCGTTCCTCGCTAAAAAACTTCTCAACTTCAAAAATATTATTTCCTTCATCATCCCAGTACCGCTTGGGCTCCAACTCTCTGCATTCACGAATACTTAGTCTGTAAAACACCGGAATCAGTGTCGGTGGTCGCATCCCACTCCCTATCGCCTCACTTCGTCGGCGTAGGAAGCAACGCAGTTCCCTCATCGTCCACTTTCGAGCCGCAAAGTCGGGAGAAAGGATGAAAACACCGACCTTCGCAGACTCCATAGCCTTCGTCATTTCATCCGCTCCGCAGTCCCCGGGCTCCATCGAGATTTTGTCGAGGAAGCAATTTAAACCATGAGCTTGCAATTTCTCGAAAAGGGGACGTGCGATGTGTAGCTTGTCCGGGCCAGCATGGCTTATGAACACATCGGTAGAGTGCATCTTTCTCCGTTTTCTATGTGGTCCCGTCTCTTGCTGGAAGCTTTCCTGCATTTTTTCTGTGAATAGCTAAAGACAAATTGGTGAGGTGCGGAGTGTGTTATGCGTGAGAACGGCACCGGCTGTTAGAAAAACAGGGATGCGAAGGTTGAAGGCCGCGTTCAGCGCGCGGCACTCTTGTCGTTGTCGACGAAAGCGGAAACAGTGGCGACAGTCGTGTGGATCAGTAGGATGAGCTGGTATGCTTTCGCTTGCTCCTTCGTGAATGAATGTTCGTGTGATTCCAGCCAGGAAAGACGCAATGTTGTGAGGTCAGGTGGCGTGGTCAGTTCCTTCGAATGCCGCGCCCGTCACCTTCCACGCTTTTATTTCTGCGCAATTCCTTCTAGAAGCATCCACGCGTCCGGCCCGGATCCCAGGCCGTCCGCGTGCGTTTCCCTAAAATTCATATAAAATCTCGGACTACAGTACAAAATCTCTCTACAGT